TGACATTGATTGAAGGTCGAAACTGAGTACAGAGTAAAGTGCCTATTTACATAGAACTTATATTGTATTATAGCGAAAATAAGACTATGATTATAAAACTACGTAGTGTCACGGTAGCCTAGTGGTAGCGCGTTCGCTTTGTGATCGGGAGGCCCGGGTTCGATTTTTCGCGGCGTAAACATATAGTGACTGTTCCTTCGCTAAATGCTCAGCATTAAATGCAAAACTCAAGGGTCTTTCGGATATGACATTAAAAACGTAGGTCCCGTGTCGCGGTAGGCGTTGGCACCTTAAGGACCCTCACTGCTCAATGGCTTTGAGTGCCAAGTATAGGTCTAAATTTGAAGCCCTTCACCGGCATACGGTGACATCGCAATATGAGAGAAACATTTTCGATAGGGATGTTAAATACACAATCAATCAATAAAACTAGTGAATTAACACACTACTACATACGTTATACGAATTAATTCAAAATACTTATGCATAATTTGTCAGGGATAGGATCAATTACCTTTAAAGGTAATTTATTAAATGACAATTACTTGGACTTTTTTTTAATTAAGTAACAATAAAACTACTGGCTTTATAAAACCTGCAATTAATTAAACTATTATATACTGAACATCATTTAATAACATCAGCCTCTGCACAAACATTATAGAAATAATAAATACATTTATTTTACTTTATAATTTTACATAGTGTTTCTCTGTGATGTTTGAACTTTTTTAAAACAAAATATTTAAGAATTATCCCTAATCAGTTTAAGCAGTTTGTTCCACACGAAACCCACACGTACGTAATTAAATTCCATTGCTGAATAAAATGATTAAAAGTGCATGTGCATTTCGAGTAAATGGGTAACAATGGAAACCCCTCAAATTATATTCAACTGTAGAGATCCTGAACATCCTGAATTACAGTAATATTGAAAAAACCAGAGGTGAAAAAAGAATTAAATAGAATTCATGATCAGCACGTATTCGTCCCTGTAATTTAGAGAAATCTGAATTTATTTCTTCAAGTGATAATCCAATTTATAAACTCATAGATCCCTTTCTAAGGAGGAAATTCTTAAAATCTTATGTTAGTTAAAATAATTTTGATATTCCAAAGAATGAATTTAATCACAATATCAATAATGGAATCTGAAACTTTAAAAATTACTTACAAAGTTACATAGCGGGTTCCAAAAAATGTTCTAAAATGTCTCTTTTTTTTTTTTTTTACTCCGAACAAAGATATTAACAGTAGTGAAAAAGGAACTTCAAGAGCAATGTTCAACAATATATTCGAAAAATGGTGTAAATCAGATGTGGACATTAAAACATTCCAAGGAACTTTTGAAATCACAAATTATAACCAAAACCAACAAAATAAAACATATTAACTCTATTTATTCCCCACAATAAATCAAAGTACAGGCTTTTTAACGTCACTGAAATATGCTTTTTGAATAAAAATTGAATTCGTTAATTTACTTACCTTGTCATAGGTCATTTGCAAAATTACTTTAAAAGAAATTGTACACATACGTTATCTTAAGTTGAAATTTAAAAGTTGCTTGAGTTTCTGATTGATTTATGTTTTCCAACAATCTATTATAATTCCCATTGGCACCAATTGCGGTCCGTTATAAGCAGACCTATTTTTGTATTTATATCAAGCAAAATCTGACTTTCAACATCTTGTTATGTTATTTTTCTCTGATGTTTCGGATGTCCGTGTTTGCTCTGCTCCTACTTTGAATACTGTTCGTTATCTTCGTGTCCTTCTTTTAACCACCGGACATGTATCTCTGCTGGTAGACATTCTGTCCCTGAGGATACTTGTCGTTCGGTACCTATTCATGCATGAGTACACAGAATAACGAAATGATACTGGCAGGTGCTTCGCCCAGTATAAAAAGGCGTCACACTCTTGAGTCTATAAGGGACAAAGATTCAAGGAGTTCATTTGGTGCACCTCGGATAATCTTCAGGGATATTAAACATATGTCATATGTACAGTCTTCAGATTTCCAGTTTTGGTATAAAACCAATAAATCATACAAAAATTGAAAGAATGTAAGGTTTCTATTACAGATATTTTGATAATTCCTTTTCCGATCCCATGGCTTCTGTTTCAAAACATTCTGTGCAAAACTGTAAAACCTGTGACATTTTGATCACTAACACTTCTTTCTCCAGTAATCTTACTGGACAGAGCTTCTAAACCAAAATTCTAGAAAATCTTAGTTGCAAATCTTCTAATATTGTCTATGGAATAGAATGTAATCTTTGTGGACTTGTTTATGTTGGTGAAACCAAGGGATCACTTAATAAAATAATATCAGGTCATCGATTTCAAATAAATCATACTAGTAAGCAGCTTTTATACTAACATTTTGATTTACCTGATCATTCTATTTTGTCAATGAAAGTTAGAATTCTCAAAAAGATTTATCACCACACAAATAGTCCGTCGTTAAAAACACCTTTCCGTAGACAACGAGAAGAAATTTGGATAAGAAAACTAGGGACGGCCTTTCCCTATGGATGTAATGACAATGTAGATAGTGTTGGAAATCTTTCCTGTCCACAGTGTAGCAATGTGAATGTGATGAGACTTTTTAACCATACATAGAGACGTAAGCATGGTCATGGGCATCGGTCTTACAATATACCTGCAATACAAGAAGTATCTTTTGATTCATTACTACCTTATGTAAATTAACAATTAGGTCTACATCATATTCGCATCAAACTATACTCCGTCCATTTGAAACTTTTAAATAGTCTTCTTGGAAAGGCCAAGAAAAGTCCAGTTTTTGATTCATCGACAGCAGAATATAAGCTCGGACCTCTGATTATGGATATTTCAAATTACAGGCTTTTTAAACCCGCACGTTTTACGGAGAAAATGCAGCTCAAAAAATCCGTCTTTTCCTTAAACTTCAATATGCCAATATAAGTAATATTCTTAATCACAAAAGGGTCTAGTCTTGTATTCCACCATATATTTCAAGTCAAAGACTACACCTTGTATTTCCTACAAATATACATCGACCATTGCATCCAAACTTTTTAATTACAAAAAAACTTTACATAGCCTGGATACCGAGTATCTGAAACATAATCCTCCATCGTGTTCATGTTCTTCTTCGCCCTATAACTATAGTCCTGCTGGCCACGTTATTACAGGTGACGGAAATATAGTTAATAATGAGGACCTTAGATCATTTATTTTATTCCGAAATACAGGGAACCCCTATCCTTCAACTAACGTCGGAATTTCATGAATATTATGGAAAATTATGCCAGACGATGGGCCAGATATGAAAAAGAAGCCATTGACACCTTGTCAAAATGGATTAAATGTATCAGATCCATGTTAAAGTCGCGTATTGAGGAGCAGTATGAAAACCATCTATCCTTCTGTGTTCAATAATCCAGAAGTGAAAAAAAAATTAGATAGGTTACATGATCAGTACGTACTAGTCTCTGGTCATTTGCAAAATTATTTTGTTAAAACACATTCTGATTGCACACACAAGTACTCTGAAGTTGACATCAAAAAGATGCTTGAGTTTCAACAATCTATTGGAATTCCCTAGGGTACCAATTTCGCTCCATTATAAGCAGACCTATTTTTATATTCATATGAAGCAGACCTATTTTTATATTCATATGAAGAAGAATTTGTGCAAAATCTTGAGCCTGAAAAGAAGAAGACACGTACTGCGGCCTTCAACTCGCCATTTAGATATATCGACGACGTATAGTCAATTACCAATGGAAATTTCCATTCGTACGTCGATACGATATATCCTGGTGAGCTTGAGATAAATGATACCACAGAGTCTGACACATCTGTTTCATACTTGGATATTTTACTTGAAAAAGACGTTAATGGTAATCAAACAACAAAGGTTTATGATAAACATAATGACTTTTACGTTTCAATCGTTAGCTTTCTGGTCCTTACTTATGCAGCAATATGACTGTCAGTACTCCCCGGCATACGGAGTTTATACCATTCCATTGATTCGTTACGGAACAGCATGTTCTACGTATGAATTTCTAAAACAAAAACGACTTATTGACAAACAAGTTGTTGAAGAAGAATATCAGCAGTCTCGTTTAAAGTCATCTTTCGTACGTTCTATTGTCTATACAATGGCCTTGTCAGCATATACAATTTATCATAAAGTCAAATGCTGATTGATTTCCTCATACTGATTGTTAGGCCAATTATTTACACACTTAGTTTTCCTAAGATTTTTTTTCGTTATTTCCCGATCATGACAAGGAGCACACGGCGGGTGTGACAGGTCGACAAGAGGATTCTCACTTCTCCATGCCACCTGATGCTATGCACCTCTGTTGGAGGATGGTTTGGAGGCACGTGTTTGCTACGCTCCTATTTTGTGATATTTAATGGACATGCGCTCGAATACTGTTCATTATCTACACCTTTTTCATTGAGCATTTTTACTTATTCATAGTACTTTTGTTCTTCTCTTTCATATACTAAGATCAATCATAAATATTGGTATTATATCATTATTGAATTGAAATTTATTCTTAATCTAATGGAGCCTTTTTAATAGAAATAATCACCTTTATTAGCCAATCTTCTAATTCATGGTTTCTGAGTATGTTTCATTTGTTTTGATTTTAATTTACAAGTGTGATCTTGAGCAATAAGTGTGAGCAATTATCTTCCCCATAGAAAGAGAAGTATAATTCAAACAACAACTAAGTTGAAAAAGTTTGCGGAATGCCTATAGCTTCAAATATATCAAATATATAAAAATCATACTCATAAGAGTTGTACGTGTTGTATATGTGCACATATATATTTATATATAAACAAGTCCACGAAAAGACAAAGATACATTGCAGCTGTATGTAATCATTTTAAAATAACAGAGAGGCATTTATAGTTTATGACAAGCAATTAGAGGAATAATGCCCTACCACCATATTTCCTGTCTGGAAAATGCTTGAAGTCAAAAACCCAATCAAAAACGTAGCAGTAACATCTGGTTTTGAAATGCTCAATCTATCAGAGGTCTTCGTCTCTATTTAAGGCTGCGATATATGTCTGAGAGGAGAGGCATTTTCATAATAAAATCAAGATGGCCATTCGTATAACATTAGTTCTCAATTTGGTGTGTTTGACTGTCATCAGTGTAAATGCTTTTGGTCGTCCCGGGGGACTCAGTAGAACAAAACCGGCAACCCCAGAAATCCAAAGACTTGTCAATTCCGTGAGTAAATTTTGTTAAAGATAATTGATCATTGAACAGCAAATATTCAATACTTTAAAGGTATTTCAATGATTTTAGAAGCAATCTTTAAAGTTGTCTAGAAGTGTTAGTAATGTAAACGTCCATCGACTGACAGCCAATTCTGGATAATGATCCTAAATGATAATAATATTTTTGCCCCCAAATACGAATGAGTTTACTTAGTTTCAAAATGTTCTCGAATGTTAGCTTTACACTCTAAAAAAAGAGAGAAAAATTTCAAGAGAAGACTTCCTTTGGAGACAATCCTATGTCTCCCAATCGATTGAAATGCTTTGAAAAATATTTTGGATTTTAAGGACATAATTTTTCGACTAAATAAAAGAGTTAAGAAATTGAAAATGGCGAGCATAAAAAAATCATTAAGAATCCAATAAACAATACACATCTGTGAGGCAATCACCCCCCCCCCTCCCCCCCGATGTCCCAGGTCTAGATGGGGAACTAGTGGCCTAGGAGCTAGGAGTAAGCATCCCCTGTTGACGGATAACAACCGCCTTAAATCATGTATTGATCAAGTAGATGGAAATGCGGTCTTTATATTCACCATAGAATTTCAAAATTGGCGACATTATACAAGGTTCAATAAAAGTTCTGTTACATCAAACGACGCTTTCAATGATTTAGCTTTTCATGATTTTACTTATTAATCTATTTTAATTCAAACACATGTCCGGAACATTTTTATCCAATTTCTGATTGTTTTTAAAACTCATTTTTGGGTATAACCCTTCGTATACTAGAAAATGGCAGATCCAATGATTTCATAATGTTTTTTTTTTGAAAGGTGTTTTATTCAAGTTTGGAAATAGAAACAAGTCAAAAGGTCAAAGATCTGGCAAATATTGTTAATGTGAAAAAACATTAACTTTCTGTTTATCCCGTAAACCCTTTTACTCTTAAGGGTATGCGGGTTTAAACGCTGTTATGAAGAAATTCAATGTAGTGGATTCCTGATTCTGGGTCCTTTCTCTGATGAACCTTTCGATTTCTTTGCAAAAAAACTGCTTTCTAGACACCTCTAGATATTAAACTGTCTCCCCGAATACGAATTTGAACATTAATACCACCAATTTTTACGAAAATTGCATATAAATCTGTTTTTGTGCTCTTGCATACCTTTGCTCTTGATAGACCTTCGCCGTTTTATCAAGTACATCTTATGGAAAATTTTGTTTTAATGGTTTTAAGCAATAGATTCGTGTTCCAGTATCTGCTTGAATATAAAACAAACGTGGATTACTACAATTACTGGTATTTTAAAATAATTGTTAAGACATTTGTACACGCTGTCGTTTTCACTCATTTTTCAAAATACAGGGTGACCTTAGAGTACCAAACTTACTTACTGTCAAACGTTTCTTAAAAACAGTGTAAACCACTCCCGATATGATGTCTATCAAATTTGCTATGTGTCTTAAAGTCAATCATACAACATCAAATATTATTTGTTGAAATTTGGCAAACAGTACATAAGTTGTTATAATTTTTGTTGGCAAGGAGGGTACCCATTTTTGATGTCCATTATATAATTTTTGATCTTTGAAATCCAGCTGCTAATTTGTCTATTAACAGGCATCGGTTGCTTAAATGTCACATATTTCAGTGAATATTTCTTTATTTTTAACAAGTTTTACAGCAGCTTTAATTAACTTTTATTTTCACTCTAGTTTACTGATTCTTAACCATTCATTTATAATGCAGTGTCTCGAATAACCCTTGTTTCCCAGCTTCTCACGATAAAACTATGTGATGAAAAGTGGTCACATAAACTGTTACAAATTCATTAAAGATTCAATAATGAGAAAAAATCAAGCTTGATGTCATATGACTACTAAGTTGTATGTCATCGAGCTAATGACATTATTTATTGAACGCCCCTCGTATACAAGGTTGATAAAAGTCCTGTTGCATCAATTTTCCTTCAGTAGCTTTTCTCGGTTTCAAAATAACTTTTAACGTACAAGAACCATGTACAAAGACCAAGGTCTTGAGTATCAATAAATAAAGAGATTGAAACACCACATGAAGTAATATATATTACTATAAAATAGGAAAATTTGACGATGGAATAGTTTAAATATTGATAATTTTTAAAGGATGGGGTATAAAAAGGATATTTCTTTATAAAGCGATCAAGAATTTTATATTTAGAACTTCAAATCAATATAAGAAAATTACCATGGGTATCCGCCCCCCTCCTTTTTGCCCTTTGATAATGTTGACATGATTAATTACATCTACAATCAATATTTTGTTTTAAAAAATATTTCATTAATTCATTAAAAAAAGTATTTAATTCATCATATGCAGGTGCGCGGGCAGATCATCAGTAAACTTCCCCTGGGATACGACAGAGAACAATATTTACCACTGACAGCTCATTCATACAAAGAACAGGTTGTCTCCGGCACAAACTATTTCATCAAGGTAAAATCAAAGCTCATTTGATTATCATTCCTAATAAATGGAGTTCTAAAAAATTCTTCTTTTATAAATTACAATTTCTTTGTTATTGAAATGATAATGCCAGAAAGTTTCATTAAATGACGGTTTAGATTACAGTAAGTGTTGCATACAGAACTTTAATTATCAATGCACAACTTTTTAATTACCATAACACGAACTTTCAAATATACGTTTTTCCTCCCTGTACATGCATGACTCATTACATTTCCATCTGCCCTTTTCATGCAATACCTCGTACAAATATCTTTTTTCTATCAGCTATATCAAGCTTGTCAAACAAAACATAAATCGATTGGATTCTATGGTACATGAAGGATTGGAATGTAATTGTATGAGTTATATTTCTTGAAATATATCAAAGATTTAAAGTATATAAGAGAAAGCGACGAAATGTCCTTTTTGTGATTTTTTAAGGCTACTAAAGCTTGTAAAAAAATTATTCCCTTTTCCCACGTTTTGATACAATGCATGTCATACATCGATAAAAATAATCAGCTTATTATATTGGAATGGATTAAATATCAAATGAATAAAAAAATATATATATAACTACATGTAATTAACATATATTCATTTGAAATTGTAGATTAAAACAGGACCAATGAGGTATATCCATGCAAGAATATACAAACCATTGTTTGGTTTAACTTCTGTGCATAGTGTCCAGTTACAGAAATCCCTCTTGGACCCGATCAGATATTTTTAAATATGTTTGAAGCAAATGCTTTTTTGAATAGTCAGAATTAAAGCACTATACAAATTATACGTGTTATTAATTTATCAGCTGTTTCATGAACATCGCGAAATAAAAAAGTGTCATCAAATTGTAAGTCATCAGTTAGGAGAGAGATGATGTTTGTTTATTGGGTTTATTTGTTTAATGGTTAAATGCATTTCCTGCCCTTACAACAGCTTTCATGACGATGATCAATCGATTGGCTTGCGTGATAATTTTATGCATAAACGAATTATCACGCATGCCAATCGATTGGTCACATCATGAAATCGAAAAATTAGACAGTCATTCCTTAAATAAACCTTAAAACAAACAATATTCAAGCTTTATTGGGAACAGATCAAACATGGACCTCTAAAAACATCAGAGATGGGATCAAGTGCCATAGAGGAATGAGCATTGCCTTTCAACCTGTCGTATGTGCTCCTTTTCATAATCATGAAAAACAGCTTTAAAAACAGCTTTAAAGTTTGTAATAGAATGTATTTGCTGACAAGGTCCATGCATCAAACACAGAACTTTAAATAAAATTAAAGATAATTATTTTATCAAATTAATGAAAAAAAATTATCGTTGAACTTCTTACATTTTTCTTGATAAAACAATTGTGATAAGTTTATTATTTGATCGATTTTCGAAAGGTAGATTTTGTTCGTTCTTACAAATTTGAAAGGAATGGAATATTCTTCATGTTCTTATATAAATTTTCTTTATTCACAAAAAATGTCTGAAGAGAGAACAATTTGCACAGTCATGTACATTGAAGTCCTATCTTACAAGTTGCTTTAATATTTATTCTTTCAAGACTTCATTTTATATTTCTGAATTAAATTAAAGATTTTGTGCACAATGATTTAAAAATAAAAAAAAAAAAAGAAAAAGAAAAAAAAAAGAAATGAAGACTAAAAATGCGTTTCCAACTGCATAAACGTCAACGTATTCTTAACCCGTAAAAATAGAGTTTTGAGAGACTGTGCAAGTAAAGTTTGCTGCTTCAATATGTTATGTGTTACTTTCTTCATGGTTCGAACAAAAATAGTAAAATAAGTATTCTAAGTAATACAGTAGAAATAGTAATTTGTTTATTTGTTGTCCCTTTTTGATTATTTTGTACTCGTATTGAAACAAATCTACTTGCTGCAATTTAGACCTATACTTGGTACTCAGTAGCATTGAGTAGTGAGGTATCTTTTCTGTGTCAGCAGCTACTGCGACACAGGGCCTCGGTCTCATCCAAAAGATAGGTCTCCACGTAGAAGAAGATGTAGTAGCGATGTAATATAGTGAAGTAATTGTTGTTGTTGCTGTTTGAGGTCAAAATCCAAATCTATTACAGAATCTTCGGTTCATTGATGCACGTTGTCATTCTGATATACAATATAATTTTAAACTAAACATTGGAGAGAACGAGTTTGATTGAAATACCAATAATAATACTAACTAAAACCTTCCATTGCATAATATGACCTGACCTTTTAATACGACTTGTTTATCGCTTAATTTGATTAGTTAATACCAGTAACAGCCGAAAATGGAATGACCAGTCAAGGACATTGGTAATATATAAATTAATTAGTGTTAATACAGTAACATTAGATTTCTATTAAATCAGGATGGCTTATCGTGCAAAAGTGACTTAAATATCTTAGCTTGTACAGCTTTTGTAAGTGTAAATGGCGCCATTCAGCGTGTCGGTGGAATCGGCGGAACCAAACTAGCTACCCCAGAAATTCAACAGCTTGTGGATTCCGTAAGTAAAAATCAGATATACATTCCTAAGATCACATAGCTGTAAATTTCTTTTTTAAGCTGCGTGTAATTTTTTTCAAACTTCTGAGGCTTATGACGTCTGATAATAAAACATAAAGCCAAAATCGTGGCAGTTTTTCATTTTATCTTTTTTGATTTGATAGTTTAATGAACATATTAATTGTAGCTCTTAGTATTAAGGGGACGATGGATGTATGGTCACATGACTCAGTTTCATTACGTCATAAGCTCTGATAACAATATGTACAAAATAAGATGGAAACCACAGTACTTGTATAATTTTTTTGACTATATTGATTTCACCATCTTGTATAAAAATATCTAAAAAGATTCAAACTTTCTTGAAAATAATATCAAATCACGGAATAAATTGATCCACTGTTCTGTTTCCCTACACTGCGCGTCCAACGATGCCTTGACGTCATAGTGGATCTCTTAGTACAGTAAGATTATACACGGTAAAACACGGGTAGTATAATATCATAAAAACGGGCCATGACCAGTACATGCCCGTACTCGAGAAATGTAAACATGACACGTTTTTCTCAAGCTCATGTCTTCTTTAACTATGCCCTGCACAATATCGAGCTCAGCTTCACCAATCGATATTTTTACAGCTAATCAATAACATGACGATCTTGCATTTCAACGTAAATTTTCAAACATTGAATGATAGGATTTTTTGCAAATTAATTTTGTTGTTGTTTAAGTTGTCTTAAAAAGTATGTAATTTTCTGTCTCCAGATGCGATGTGACAAAAGAATATTGCTTTTTAGAGTTTTTAACCCTATTCATACTCTAAAATATTTTAAAAGACACATGTTCGCTGACATATTTTTATCTATGCTGAAAAAATTCCATTACGGACCGATTTATCAGCCCAGAAACATTGAGAATAAAAACTCCACTTAGACACTGAGGGGTATAGTATTTGTCACTCAATATCTCCAAAAGAAATCTAGAAACCTATTGATATAGCTGCTTTAAGGTATGTGGGACATACTATATTAGAGATATACAAAATATGAAAAAAATTGAACGACAGGTATTTTTTCAGCTAAAGGTCCTTCTTCCCCTTAAGGTTATCTAATAAAAATTGTAAATTATATCATTTTTTTTCTTTTACAGCTTCCTTTTAGTTAAGATGGCTAAACAAATATGTTTTCATAACTTGTTAAATTTATATAAAAAAAACTCACCAGTAATTGTTAACCTTTAAATAAATGAAAACAAAATGAAAATACTGATTTTCATCTGCATTAACCGAACTCTTCTTATCCAGGTTCGATGGCAAATATTAACTCGACTTCCGCTGGGATACAACAGAGGACAGTACTTACCACTGATAGCTCGTGCATATAAAGAACAGGTAGTCTCCGGCCAAAACTACTTTATCAAGGTAAACTTTTGCTCATCGCAAAATTGATGAAATGATTAATTCTTGAAAATATTCTATATTTCCATTTTTATTACACTACTGAAATACCGGGACCAGCGTCAGTTTTCTCATACATTTTTTAAGCAATGCTTTGCATACAGAGTCCCAATCAGACAAACTTACGCAAGAATAAAATTCATACAAGCATTTCTATATTCGAGTATATCTGATATCGCACGCTTTATGGTACAACATGCAGAATACTTTTGTTTAAATTACAGATTCAAACAGGGCCCATGAGATATATTCACGTGCGAATTTACAGGAAATGGAATGGGTTGACTTCTGTGCATGGTGTTCAGTTGCAGAAATCCCTTTGGGATCCGATTGAATATTTTTAAATGCTGTTTGAATTTCAAAATAAAATTCAAACAATCTTAAAAGATATCAGATTACTGTAGTTTATATGTGGTGCTAAAAATGTACTATTAACTCTTTCTATACATGAATTGCTAGAAACAAAAACATTTTCAAAAGATGGAATTGATTTTAAAGATAGGATTGTGATAAATCACATTTTTTCCATTTATTTGAAATACCCTACATACTAACGATTGTCTTGATCAAACATCGAGGAAGCCCTTGCAAATAAGATTTTAAGACATACAGCTGTAAATTGCTTACGCATATATATATACGAGTAGTGTAGTTATATATTGACATTTATAAAGGAATTTGACTTTAGGAATGCTGAATCTAAAGTCTTGTTATTTATTTATTTGGATGTTTATTCTCACAGAAATATGCTTCCTTGGCAAATGAAAAAAATGATAGATTTTCAATTTTATTATTTAGATACATTTTTTTTTTACATATTTTTTTTTCGGGATAAGAATTTCAAATGATTAGAAATATTCAATTGGATCGTACTGCGCCACAAATTTGACATCCTTCACGTTACTATGATTATTCATGTTGGTGTAAATTTTCACGTGTAGGTAGCGAGGTCGAGCTCCTTGCATTTTTACCTGAAAAATATAAAGAAATATTATACAAAATAAAAACAAAATATTCAAAATAGAAACAAAAGGCCTTGATGCTGTTTGTATAAAACTACATTTTGAGGTGTTACCTTAATGAAGTAGTTTGTTCCTTTTACGACTTGTTTTTTAAACACCAATGCTTTTAAAGGTCCAAAAGGCCCTTCAACATAAGATGGTAGTCTTCGAATAATGGCGTCTCTGTTCTGAAAAGAAATGTATTCAAAATTATATAATTATTCACTGAACAATTAAATCTGGTCTGTGTTTGCTCTGCTCCTAATTTGTATTGTTTTTTTTTTTTTTGGACTTTGAGATTGAATACTGTTCGTTATCTCTATATCCTTCTTTAGATAATAAAAGCCGACTTACATCTGATATAACTGTATAACAAAATTGATGATTTCAACTTTTCCGTCGTCAATTTTCATTATTCTTTGTAACATTATCTCGCTATTTTAAGCATATTGTGTTTACATCTCTTAACTTATTTGATACGCAAGAGAATGCTTTAGGTATGATTACATTTTAATACAAGACAGGATGCCGACAGAGTTAATGTAACAGATAGTTGTGCAACCTCGTTTGAAGTCAGCAAATCGTAAAAAAAATGGTTGTCATAATGACATTAGATTAGATAATCTATCATGAATCGTCTTTCAAGGAGGCTGTGTGAATGTTCGCGGATATGTATTGTTAAAACGGACCTGAGATCGATTACTTTCGTTACATTCACTTGTTTTCGTTACTTTACATTTCATCACAGTCATCTAATTTTTTTTTGTCAATTATATGTCCAAAAATATCTAAAATATGATTTTTTCAAAATTAAAAATTGTTTCATCGCTGTTTTTTGGAATTAGCAATATTCTGTTTATTTAATGGTAGAAAGGATAAACGGTATCATCCTTAATATTTTCGGGCATTTCAAATTATAAACAAAAAGTTCTTATTTTTATTCGTTTCAGAAATATCCGAAAAATCAAACTTTTCAACACCGTATGTGCCTCACACAAATCAAAAAAAGGTATTAACCTTCTGATGATTTCATAAAAATTCTAGCACTTCATTCATGAAAGATTTTCTTTTTTCATTCAAATGAAGCACGACATGCAAAGCTTATCTTATGTATATTTGAAATCTAATAAAGCCATGGCTATTTAATGATTAAAATTAAAGTAAGACTATATATACCTTTTGAACTAGGGCCTCTTCTCCTGGTCCTGCAAACTCCTGTGGACCGAGACCCCCGGGGGTACAGTGTGTCTCGGTGATGATCGTCACGAGGAGGCCAATGGCAAATATTGAAAGTCCTTTCATAATGGTGAATTTTTTGGAAGTGAGGATTTCTTGTGCTTACCATGACTTTTATAGCATAAAGCCTTTTGCACAAATGTTGCAAATATACATTCCGATCATAACTGAAAGTCACGAAGTTTAATGTTGTAAACATGGTAAACACTATGCTATGTAATTGCTGTTAATTATTGCATTTATGTACGTCACCTTTGTCAGTTAGTTTTAACATTCTTAGTAATTAAAAATTTATTTATTTATTTGCTACAAGAATTGACTTGCAGGACCTTTTTATATATATATATATATATATATATATATATATATATATATATATATATATATATATATATATATATATATATATATATATATATATAATACAAAATTTTCATGATACAGTTTAATTTGGGAAAAGAAGATAAAAACTATACAACTATAAATTAAGACATAGGCCAAAAAGATATTTTTGACAACACAAGATAACATACCCTAGAAGCTAAAATTGTCAACGTCTTTTGACAAAATGCCAAATTCGACAGATAGCCTAAAAAGTTAAATGAAAGCAAAACAGGAGGGGAATATTTATTTATTTAATTAACACTTATAGAATTCTTGATTTAAATGTGTAACAATCAAAATTGATTTTATTCTTGTCAATTTCTACCTTTTGATATGATTCCTTACTAATTACAGATAATTATTATTTCTTCCAGATTAAAATTTAAAATTGTATTAACTTTTGTCAAATCTGAGTGATTCTAGACTCAAATGTAAATGATAGCATACAGTTGCACATTGAGCACTTTTTGCACACACACAATATTGAAATAAGTCATTGGCGGTTAAAAACAGTATTTATTCTGAATAATACAGATTTCGAATTGAAAATGAATCTGTAAATTCTTTCATATTGCATATAACAATAAGAAGGAAAAAATAACTTTATTAAAAGATTCATGATAAATGTTTCGCACCTGCAACTTCACTTTTTCTTTAATTAATAATAATAATAATAAAGAATTATTGCTGTATACTAGAAGTATAAATCTATTTATCATTGCAGTAATGGATGTTTGATAATAAACTTAAAAAAAAGTGTTGTGTGTACTAATATTCAAATAAACTTTGATTTGGATAAATAAAATATGTGAATGCTTAACTTTGCCATTTCAAAAGTATTAAACAGTTATGATATATTCAGTTGTGCACTTCATTAAAATGAAATGATAAATAACCTTAATTTAAGTGAAACGTTCAATAGAAATTGATAAATATACAAAGCACTTGTTTATCAGTAGCTGGAGGCCCAACTTTTAATTAGTTTTAGAAACATGCTGCTCCAGTTGTGTATTTAACAGCTGGGACGTTTTCAAACAATCTGTCTATTGTTCTAATATGAGTATATAAACACTCAATTTTCACCACTGGCAATATCACTGATATCCTCAAAACCACAAGAATGGGATTTGTTACAGTTATTCTCAGCTTAGCGGCTACTGCTGTGTTTCTTGTAAATGCTACACCTATTGTTGGAGGTCTTGGCAGAGCCCAACTCGCCACACCAGAAATCCAACAACTTGTTGATTCCGTACGTATAGCATATACATGTAAATAAATGAATTTTTTATCAATGTCTAGATATTATTTTACAATTAATATGTACTTTAATCACGATTGAATTAAAATTCTCGGATGTCTACAAGTTTGCTTTTTTCCATTAGTGAAAAGTTAAATCACAAGTACTGACTTTAAACTACAGAATATGTCTACTAATTGATATCTATTGTATATAGTTTTACCATTATTGTTTTAGGTTCGCGATGATATAATCAGCCACCTACCTATTGGATACGACAGAGAAATGCCCCTGCCATTGAAGGCTCGCTTTTACAGAGAACAAGTCGTCGCTGGCACTAATTATTTCATAAAGGTAAAAAGAGTATATAACGTTGTCTTTATTTGCTACAACCTTGTATTTAGGTCCTTTACATTATGAACCTCTTTCAAACTCATATTTTACATTTATACTAAGTTCGTAATTTGAAAGTAATGATTTCCCTCACAAGACTTTTATATGTAATACTTTCTATTTGCAAAGGTATTTCAGATTTGCACTGCTTTACAAAAAAGAATCGTATTGAAATAACAATTTTTCACAACGTAATAATTATTTATTTTCCTATCAATTACAGGTTCAAACAGGCCCCTTAAGATTTATCCACGTTAGAATTTATGAAAATCTTGATGGAGTTGCTTCTGTAACTGGCATACAGCTTCAAAAGTCCATCAGAGACCCAATTGAATACTTCTAAAAGCATAAATCTGTTTAGATTTTTTAAAAGAAATTCCAACATTAGCTGTTAGATTTGATTACAGTTTAACTTATTTAGACAATTTCGTTTGATTGTTTATTCGATTTAATATGTGTATTTAGTTAATAAAATTTAGACAAATGTGTCGTTTTTTAATTATTATTTTTTTAAGATTTTAGACCAAAATTTTTTTGGTGTTTTTGCTTTTACATATCAATTTATATAATTTTGCTATAATGAAATAACAGCTTCTGCATTTCACAATATTATCAATTACAGTAAAAAAAATCTATGGGACTTTTCATTTTTATTCGTTTATAACAGAATATTCTTAACAATTATAAATAAGTCATGTGATCGACTTATACCAAAAACTTTCAATTTCAATTTCTATGAAGGAATAATTGTAGATGTAAAATTCAATATCTCAAAAATATATATATGTTTACCCCTCTCTTCAAATGACGAGTATTTTGTAATCGATATATATTGCTTGTAGGTTAAATTTCGTTCACATTCGTTTTACATTTACCTCTTCAATGGGTTATTTATATTCTTCTGGTTTTAAGGATATACCTCAATTATGATTAAACTACAATGGATTCATATAAAAATACAATGTATTCTTTATATCGAATTCGTATATTAAATTTCTCATTTTCGATATTTTTTCAACGACTTTGTACATGATTGCAAAATTGTTATTTTCTGTATCAATGAATTAGATATCTAAGGCCACGTTAAAATTTTAAATCGAACGTTTCTTTTAAGGTAATTCTACCCTCATGCGATGTCATAGGTTTTTGCAAAAACTGTTATTAAATTCATGCCCAATAAATCAATATATTTTGGAAAAATGATTTCCCATAGGTGTAACGATAAAACTTGTTAAGTAAAAGAATTTAAAAAATGCATATTTCTTTTCTTTAATTAATTATTCAATCTTTAAAAAATGTTGACAAGGGCAACAACTCCTGCTCGGGTAGCTCAGGCATTTTCTTTATTGCAATTCTAATGTAAAATAGTTTCCCTGATATTCTCAATTCAAAAGTATCTTATAAGTAGCAATTATTTAGGAACTTTCAGTATCAAAATTATGCATTTGAATCAGTTTTTACATAATATTAATGATACTGTTTACAAAAGTTGTACGATTTTTTATGCTGACATATGCTTCTGTTCATTTACGTCTCCCATCTTAATAATATGGCTGCCTATACATTTTTGGAAATAACTGGTAAATTTAAATTTTATCAAATGAAAATAAATTCAATTTTTGTACTCTTAACCATTAAAATTGTAAGGGTAGAAAGACCTTAAAGATTTCTCAGAATGTCCCATAGATTGATAGAAAATATATAAAACGAGAATGAAGTGAAACGTAAGATTGATGCATTGCACAAGAAAAGATTCCAAATTTCCCCAGTGTAGTCAATGGCGTTTTCAGACCGATTTGCATGATTTTTCGGTGAGGTCTAAATTGTTATTACTGGAATTTTGAAAAATCTCCCTTTACAAGATTAGTTTATCTCTTATCTTTATATTTTATGTCTGCTAAAATTATTTAAGGAATGAATTTAATAGCTACCCATTTTATATGGTATCAACTGGGTTGGGGCAGTTTACGCTTTACGTTCTAGCAAAATGACTCAATTTGTACAAAATTTGAATGTAACGTCAGGCGGATTGATACGTTTTTGACGCAAGTCATTGTGACGTAGGCAACCCATTTTATACGATATAAAGTAAATTTTTTATCCAATCAAATACAGCGTTACAACCAGAATTAAATCATATATCATTGTTAAAAATAAGTTTGAGCTTTAAAAAAAAATAATTAAACGTCACAAAAGTGGAAACAAGACAAACTGATTTACAAACTTTTTATTTATTGAAGGAGGATAAGATAATGTATTTTAGTGTTAGAGAATTATGGAAAGAAGCAAATGTAAACAATCTGATTATTGACAAGGGCAATACCAATTGCATTAATAAGGTTATAAGTGGGGGAATATGCGGAGTGACGCATCACGTGACCAGAAATTTATTTTTTTAGAATTTGATTGGTCAATTTCTGCCTCTCGTAAGACATAAAACAAAATTACCATTATAATACATTGCTATACAATATTTCAGACTTTAACTTTGAAGGAGGATACTTATTTATAACAATAAAAAAAATCAAGTAAGCTTGAATTTTTATATGCAATCATAATGTTCGTTCTCTATATATAACTAATGTAGAATTGGTGAGCCTCTCTACATGATGATATATAGATATAACAAAGAATACCCATGACTTGAGTTTTCAATTTTATTTACAATATGAAAATCTTGACTCAAAGATTTATTTTTGTAAAAGCATCCAAATGTTATACACTTTTGACTCTTATTCGGTTATTCGAGGGGTGTTAGAAAAGTTCGCGGACAAGTTCTATTGTGAGCGCGCTATTTCCACGAAACCGGCATTTTCAAACTTTAATGTAAATCTTTACCTTTTTTCCAATAAATATACAAGAAATTGTTTCTCTCCGGTGATTATTAAAAAATATACAGCTTTTTTATTTTGATAAAACTTGCTTCACGGAGCATGCTACATTTTGGCACGTTTACATCACCAAGACTCTTTATTAAAATTTAAAATTGCACAATTGTAGCGCATAAAGATTTATGATATTTTACTTTCCACTAAAGTATTCATGAAACGTCACTGGGAGAAATTTTGAATTAAATTGGAGGGTTTATGACTGTTTTATAGCCGTTTGTAAATGATCATTGCGTAAAAACACAGCCAAAATTCGGAACGTCATTGAGCGTCATGGAGCACGCCACTTCGTATAAATTATGTATGCAAACTGGAAAATGTCTAAAAAGAGATTAAAATGTTCAAGATGCTGCCTAAAATTGTTTTAAAAAAGGACAAGTTTTCAAATGGTTGTAGCTTCATAAGAATGGTAGGAAATATTTTGAAAGATTAATTCCAGCGATTTTTTTTCAATACCCCCGTATCGCATGGACGTTGCGTTGCGCCTATATGGTTTTGCGTAGTTTCCATAATGATGATTAACTGATTAACTGCATAAACTTTTTTAAAGATCTCAATAATATCCAAATCAGTACAAAAGACATTATAGAAGAAAATAACATGTTTTGATATAGATATTCAATTTTAAAGTAGAAAAAAAACAAAAAAAACTAAAGATTTATAGAATTTCGACAAAGCTTAACGGGTTGAACTTATTTGTAACGTAAAAAAAATCAAGTGATTGCTTGAATTTTTATATGACCTCATAGTAAAAATCGTTGTCTATATATAGATTTTATTATATGGACCTGATTTTTTACATACCAATAAACAAAATGTAGGAATTTATTCAGACATAATTTTATACTTCACATGAAAATACACAATAGATTTTCCGTAATTCAATGTGTCCGCGAACTTTTCTAACGACTCTCGTATTTTTGTATGTTATATGTAATCTATTTCGCAACTATTATCAAACATTTTTTTGCAAAGAAACGTAACAAATATATATAATAAGGAACTAAATAGACAAGATATTTTGCCATTTTTAGCTTTCGGTATTTCAATATACCAGTTCTGTTTCAATTGGGTTTTTGAAGGAAAATTTCGTTATTTTACGGTTCCTTTGTGCATATGCATATTTCTTGAAAAGGATTTTTTTAGTTTAAAGATATCTATAAAAAAATCCACATATGGTGAAATATAATTTCAAGATGATACAATATATTAAATAATTAATGGTATATTGATTGATTCTCCTAGACTTTTTTCAAATTTCAGAGTTCATTTATCCAAGACACTGCACCGTACTTTTCACAAAAAAGATATCCGGTTTACTACATCGTATTGACAGGTTTACTTTGTTATTGTTTTCTTGCTAGAAATAAGAGACAAACTCTTTCTCATTAAGTTTTATTGAAATCTTCTTTATAAAATGCTATTAGGATTAATATCTTCAATTATTTTCATTGAAATGTATGGAATTGAAATATATGGAAATAACGAACAGTATCCATCAAACAATACAAAATAGGAGCAGAACAAACACAGACCTTCAAAACATCATATACCGTTCACGGTAGCTCGGTCGGTAGAGCGCTCGCTCCGTGATCGGGAGGTCGTGAGTTCGTATCTCGGCCGCGACTGACCTAGTCGTTAAAATGGGTAGCAACTGTTCCTTCGCCATGCGCTCGGCACTTTGAAGTGAAAGTTGCGGGTCCTTCGAATGAGACCTTAAAAACCGAGGCCCCGTGTCAGCGGCAGGCGTTGGCATGATAAAGATGCTCCTCACTGCTCAATGGCCCTAGTGCCGAGTGAAAGGTCAAAATTTGAAGCCCTTCACCGGCATACGGTGACGTCTCCATATGAGTGAAAAATTCTCGAGAGGGACGTTAAACAATATACAATCAATCAATCAATCAATCAAAACATCATAGGTAGAATGTGCCATAGAGGAGTGCGCATTCCCTGCCGACCGGTCACACCTGCTGTGTGCTTCTTGTCATTTTCGGGAAATAACGGAAAAAATCCGTCGTCAATTCAGTGTATAAATAATGGTCTAACAATTAAAATAAAACGCCAGTCAGCATTTGACTCAATGATAAATTGTATGTTGACAAGGTCAATATATCGACCATAGAACTTATGAAATGATGACTGCTGATATTTTTGATTCATCAACTTGATTGTCAATAATTTACCTCTTTTTAGAAATTGTTCACACGTAGAGCATGCTCTTGTTTATCGAATCAACTGAGATGTTAATATACTCCATATGCAGGTGATGAAGGTATATATTGCTGCGTAAATAAGGGAAAATGACGATAGAGAAGTCATACCCGGTAATGTTTATCAAAGAGTTTGGTTGTTAGATTACCATTAACGTCTATTTCAAGTAATTTATCAAGTATGAAACTCTGTGGTATGTTTTATCTCAAGCTCACCAGGATATATCGTAGCGACATAAAAATGAAAATCACCTTTGTTAATTGATGATGCGTCGTCGATATGTTGAGTTAAACGCTACAAGAAGTGTTGTGCTCTTTTCACGAATAAGGATTTGGACAAATTCTACTGGAGATATCAAACAGTATTTAATATAAAAAGCCCATAAAACGACAAAAAGGGAGCAAAGCAAACACGGACCTCCAAATCATCAGAGGTGAGATCAGGTGTCATGGAGGAGTGAGCATCCCCTGCCGACGATCTCATCCGCCGTGTACTCCTTGTCATGATCAAATCCATCGAGAATTCAGTGTTTATAATAATATATTCATGTAATAATTTATTGTGTACTACATAATATGACCAAGATAAAAAAATGGTACTCTTTTATATCAGTTTATTCATTACGTGAATTTTGTACATTTTCGTCAACTCCTTGTCTTTAAAAGTATTCTATTGGATCATACTGAGCCACGAATATGACATCTTCCACTTTACTTCGGTTGTTTAAACCAGTGTAAATTTTCACATGTAAGTAACGGGGCTGAACACCTTGCATTTTAACCTGAAAATAAATAATCCAATGAGAGTTTTTAACTCTTTACAAGAAACTGCACAACCAAAAAATCCTAATAAATTTTGGCAAAGTTTTGTGAATTTCTTTCTGAAAAGGACTCACCTTGATAAAATAATTTGTGCCCTTCACAACCTGCTTTTTAAACACCAGAGCCTTCAGGGGTCCAAAAGGTCCCTCCACGAAAGACGGTAACTTACGGATAATGGCGTCTCTGTTCTATAAGATGTTGCAATCTTACATTATTCTCATAACAAAATAATTCAAAGACCCAAAGTTTGGATAAATTCATTTAATTTTAGCGGAGAAACGAAACGAACAATAATTCAAATTAAAAAAAAAATAAAAAGAAGGTTGAATTAATTAACAGCTCTTATCATACCTCCTCAACCAAGGCCTGTTCTCCGGGTCCTGCAAATTCCTGTGGACCAAGACCCCCGGGGGTGCAGTATGTCTCGGTGATGATGGCAAAGAGAAGGCCAAGACCAAGTACTGAAAGTCCCTTCATTGTGCTTATTTTGTTTTCGGTAGTTTGATTTTCGTTGTGTTCCGAATCACTTTTATAGCGTGCGGCACATAGTACAATATGTTACTAGTATACTAGACTTCATAATCACGGAGTACGATGATGCAATCATCGCGCACAATATGTTGTGTTAATTATTGTATCAATCAGACAGTATTAATGAAGCAATTAAAGAATGGTAAACAATTTATGAGTACAGTTAGTGAATATTACTATGGAAGAAAGGAAACAAGTTTCCATAGATAGGAATAATTATGATTTTTTTCATATTTAAAATTTTTGATAACGATAGACAATATTGTTAATGACACTGATAGCAAAATAAGGAGACAAAACATATACATGTAATGCTACATTACATTGGATATATAACTGCATTGTACATACTAGTAAACGAATTCAAGAAAATGAGTACCCTTCCTTTATTCCCATCTGCTTAACTGTCTATGTGCTGAAAAAGAGGTGGTCATACCCGAACCTTGGATTCTAAATCAGACATCCACATATGAGTGCCTGAGAAAAAAAATGAAATTAATTTCAAGATGAACACATGAATAAATTAAAGAGTTCCCAGTTTAAAAGAAAATTTTATTATAGTTGACAAGAGCAAGAAATAATAAAGTTTGTTCCTATCTACATTTTTTGTTCCAATAGTCGTAATACTTAATACTTGCAAGGAGAAGATTACAATGCGTTGTGTGTTGTTGAGATTTTCATTAATTAGATATTTCTGTTTAAAAAAAATTTTGATCTCAACTAATAACTATTTATAAATATCTTACAATGCATTCGCTGAATTTGCGAACTTTGTCGACTAAGCTTAATTGAAATTGCTGAAAATGGATTGACCAATGGCTTGATTTTTTTTTAAATTTATAAGCATAACATTATAAACATTCTTTTGGATAAATTATACTTATAATGATTTTAATTATATTTTAATAGCACCAAGTATAAATCATTGTTAACACCAAAAGTCTAAGAATTCATTGTAAATGTTAACTTTAAAAAAATTAGATTTTTTTTCAAACTGGTCCAAAAAGGACGTGCATGGAGACACTTATTTCTTAATTAAGGGCACCTTAAACAGTTAACTTATGTCCCTGACCCTAATTTTAACGACATATTGAAGGCCAGAGGCCAAATATTTAATAATTGGTGTTAGAAATATACAGATCTAAATTTAATTAATTTTAGGAACATACTAAGTGTTATTATTATTGAAATGAGCAGCTGCAGCAAATGATCTGCCCACTCTCTCACTTGTGTATATAATAACAACCATCTTTCCCATATTTGTACAGTAGTGCAGATACCCACCTTCTGAATCACAATGAAGGCTTTTGTTGCAGTTATCCTCGGTTTAGTGGCCGTGTGTTTTGTTAAAGCTAATGATAAACCTGTCGTTGGAGGACTTGGTAAAGCCAAACTCGCCACTCCAGAAATCCAGGAACTTGTTGACTCTGTAAGTATGGCAAAAAAATGTATAATGGAGAATTTTAACATTTCAAGATTTTTTTTTCTTCAGAGGATTAATTTTTTAGAAAATCTTGTCTATATTAATCATTTCTTTAAATTGTTTTAAAAGACGTTTTTACGAAAGAAAAGGGAATCATGCTATATGAATTGACTTTTTCTTCAAAAAGTGACCATCTAAAAAAAGACATATTTTATAAAATGTATATTTTATAGGTGCAAGATGATATAATCAGCAATCTCCCTATTGGATACGACAGAGAAATGCCACTTCGCCTTAAAGCTCGCTTTTACAGGACACAAGTCGTTGCTGGCACTAACTATTTTATCAAGGTACAATTTGAAAAAAAAAATGTTACTAGAAAAAATATGTCAACCTTATTAACATTTTAATTTGTTATGCAGTTTTCTTTTATACAAGAAGTAGTTTTCGTCAAGGTCTTCATTTCAGTTTAATAATACTTGCAAGATAATAACATTTTATTGCTAAGCGAGTAATTGTTTTCTTATATTTTATTTTATTCATTTCTTATCCATTTCAGATTCAAACAGGTCCGTTGAGGTTTATCCACGTTAGAATTTATAAAGACCTTAATGGTGTCGCTTCCGTTTCCGGTGTCCAGATCAACAAGCTCCTCAGAGACGCACTTGAATATTTTTAAAGCAATTTAACATATTTTCACAAACAACCATTGATAAATTTAAAAATTTCAAGGTCTTTTGATTTCCTGTTGATGTAATGTTTTTGGTCGAACAATTTGTAATTTTAGGCAATTATTAATATTGCTTTTTATTTGTGAGAATCTCACAAAGATTAGAAACGAAATTTAAAGTAAGTAAGCCTTTTAAAAAGTATGATTAATTTGAGAAATTGTTATTTTTATTCCTCCGTACCACATAATAAAACAAAGAATAAGATCTTTCTCTCTCCCTTTTTCAAATATAAAATTTTGTAACGGTAAAATTGGACTTCAAGTAAACGGTAAACACGGATTTAAATGCAAAGGAATGCAGGTGTCATTGCTCTATTTTCCTTAATCGTTAGATGCAAAATCTGTTTTATCTATTTTTAAAAGAACGATCGTCTCTCGAATGAAAATCTAAAAATTAAAATAAAGCGAGACTGTCCCAGCCAATTTGTTAACCTTTCGCTTGCAGAAATTGTGAAAGTGGAAAAGTGAGCAGCCTTTTTCCTACAAGTATATGTTATTGCAGTATTGATGTTAAAAGTGCCACTTGGACACTTTACTTTTTTTAATTTCTACACTTTAATCTGAAAAAATTACACTTTAATCCGAAAAAAATACACTTTAATCTGTAAATTTTATACTTTAATCTGTTAAATTCACACATTAATCTGTAAATTTTACACTTTAAGTGCAAATTTTACTCTTTCAAGTGCACATTTTACTCTTTAAAGTGCACATTTTACACTTAAAAGTGTAAATTTGACACTTGAATCTGTAAATTTGACACTTTAATCTGTAATTTTTTACACATTTATCTGTAATATTACACATTTATCTGTAAATTTTACACTTAAAGTTGTTTATTGTACACTTTTAAGTGTGAATTTTACACTTTTATGTGTAAAATTTATATTTTGAAGTGTAAAATGTACAGATTAATGTGTAAATTTTACAGATTTATGTGTAAAATTTACAGATTAAAGTGTAAAATTTACAGATTAAAATGTAAATTTTACAGATTAAAATGTAAATTTTACAGATTAAAATGTAAATTTTACAGATTAAAATGTAGAAATTAAAAACAAAAATAAAGTATCCAAGTGGTACTTATACGCTTCCGTGCACCCCGGTATACAGGGGATGTTGGAAGTATGCCACAAAATTTAGTAATTGAAAATCTGACGTCATCCCAGTTGTCATATACCGATGGTTAATTAACCATTATCTATCGATAGTAAATAATTGAATATGAAAAACGTATAGATGCTCTGTATTGCCTTTAATTCCTAATACGCAAGTTTCGAGATTATCTCCCTTTCGTTGAGGAGGGGAGTTTTGTTGCCGCGTTAACAAACAAGTGGGACAGTTATTTATATATTGGATATATCACATTATCGATATACTGGTCTATCATAACTACATAATTGTAAAGATGCACTTTTCATCCCGAGAATAACCGAATTAATGTAAAGGCGTCATTTTTTAAAGCAAAAAAATCAGAACAAAAAAGAAAGAAAATATCAGTGGATGTTAAACCTTTCAGACGAGGGAAGAGAATATGGACCTCTAATAAATACGGTACACATGGATCTGAACATTGCACGTCGGCAATCTAAATGACACATTGATTATCTTCCTTATTGTAACTACAAAGAACCCACTAACTTTTTAGAAAATGTATGTACAATCAAGAAAATCTTTTACTTTTTATAAAGACTACGACGTCTATTTCGTTTTCAAGTACCCTATAATTGAAAGTAGATTTGTAAATATACACAGTTGAGCTTGATAAAATCATAAAATGCATCACTACTTAGCATTATTATCTTTCTATAACTTTAAATAATTTTTAAAAGCTATAAACATCGTTCATTTATTTATGCACGTTTGTGTACAGAAACAACCTGTCCCACCTCCATGCCTAAATGGATACGTTTTGCGCCTCTATTGTAGGAGAATTAGAATCTCGAAACCCGCGTATTCACTGGGATTATCAAGTTATAAACCAATCAAGACTACCCGTAAAAAGATTGTTTCATGTTGAAATGAATGATTTTTTTATATCAAATTTATGGGTGTATTACTCTTAGTAAGTTACTAAAAAAATAACATCTGATGATGTCTTTTCATATTTAGTAACACTCTATTTACTTTTGAAATTCTAAAAAAAAAATTATATTCTTTCTACAATGGTTGTTTTCAAACAGGGATCAGTGTGTACATCAATAAAGAGATAACAAATTCAAACAAATAAATATTTAATAAGGTTCAAGTTCATTCAATTGGGAATACCCATAGTTAAAAAGGTTACTCTCTTATCATGAATGTAATAGAAGCCTTTATAATCTTTTTTTGGCATACCTTGAATAGATTGGAATCAATTGCTTTTTACTAAATTCGTGCATCAAATTAATTATTGTTTGCATAAATTTAATTTATGCTCCATATATAATAAACATTTGATGCATACAGAAAACTTCACAAAATTATTCAGACGTTTTGAAGATTTTACTATAATTATTTCACAAGATATTGATTCGAGATTAAATGGATTGAATTATTATGAAGTAGATAATATCACATGAATTGATATAATCCTCAAATTATCAATAATATGAGTTCACGTTAATTTGGAATTCTATCTCTATCTAATATGTTAAAGTTTGAAATCTTTGAGATATTATTTTACATGACCAATTGAAATAAAAATTTCTTCGTAAAGTGTCCACAGTTTACAAATTCACTTTAAAAAAAAGTTTTACTTGTTGTTTTTAAAATAAGATATTAGATTAAGAAAAACTAGTAATTATCAGTAATCCATTTAGTCAGAATAGCAAGTAAATGACTATCATGGTTAGTAATTGTAAACATAATTAGTAATAAGGATGAATTCATTTACTTATAAAATGATTTACTAAGTATCAATGGAATTACTTAACATAGGAATTATATTACTTAGTAAATGAACTACTCATTTTTGGTAAATTATTAGTACTTAATTTAGAGATAATATGTTTTAATACTATTTGAAAATAGAATGTTATTACTTAAAAGATTACTATGTAATAAGAAATAATTATCATATTCACTAAAATCCACATTATTTACTAGAAACATTGCAAGAATTACTTAATTATGTAAAGAAACAGCTTTGTAATTTTATAAAAAATTATTAATCAATATCATATGGATATCCAAATGGCTCAAAGCACTGGTATATAATTAATGCATAAATATATAGTTATAAAATTTACAACACCATGTATCAACAATTTGTAAAGTTATATGCAATTTACTACATTATAAGGTGCAAAAAATTTAACTGAAAGAAAAAATGTACACATTACATTGTATCTTCATGACCAGCGCATTGAATCCTATCTTTTGACAAGTTGTGGCAAAAAAAATACAACATTATTAAGTATTTGAACACAGTTATATGAATATTTACTAACAGCATGTACAGTGAATCGACTCTTTTCTCGATCTTTATTACATTATAAACACCAGCTACAGTTTTAAATCATTATAAAGAACAACTTATAGTTTTAGTCTTTTTTTCTACCTGCATTCCTTCATTTCTCAAAATTCATTTAATATCCAAGGGCTGCGCTTCATACCCATCAGTCCAATAAACATTTTTTGACTTCTTCATTACTGGTAAGGTTAATGCATGTTAAATGTTTGTTGGCTGCACTGGGTCAATAGGTAATACCGATCAGTTTAAAAACGCACTTTTAGTTTCACGGTGCAATGATAACAAAATATAATTGCTAACCTTTTATAAACTTTCACAAGTTTAGTTTCCTCAATTTTATATCTATTTGTTTACAATAATTAATCAACAGCTGATCAATAATGGCATCTGTGATTATTTTATTGCAGTGATTTTAATTGTAATACAATTTTCTTTGATAAAGCTTTTCCTAAAAGAAGAAAAAGATATATATACCTTATAGATAAACTTTCCTGTACTAGCTTTAAAACCCTGTGAACATGAATAAAGTCATAATGACCACTTCTTTTCTCTCATCGGGAAATTTCCTTCTACAAAAAAAAATTTAAGATTAATCAGTGCAAAAGGATACCCCGTCCAAAAAAAAAAAAAAAAAAAAAAAAAACATACTCAGTTGTGCTATATCAAGACTGCAAAGTTCTATGAGCTGACTGAATGTGGCTGAAATGCACATGTAGCAAATGTACATCATTTATTAATTAACCGACGCACATGTATTGAAAATAATATGATACCTTCTGTTTATAGCGAGCGGAGCGAGCGTCGCTCGCGAAGCGAGCTCAATAGACTAACGTGTAAGAACAGAGGAAATTCGGAATGAAATCTGTACATACGTCAGGCAAATTTTTCTGTGAAACATTCCCAGAATTCCTTTACTACCCTATGTCCTTTGCCCAAATAAATAAATAAATACTAACGTAAAGCATAAACGGATTTCAATATGTAGAAATCTTTCAAAGAAACAAAAAATAACTCTGCAATTTTTTTTAATCAAATTGCACTAGTTCTATAGTTTCAAACAGACGCTCGGCTGTCTCCGTAAGCTCCAATGAGCTCCGTGACGTCGTGTGACGTCATATGTAGTCGAGATGTCTCGTGCGTCTAGGTTTTTGAAGTGGCTAATCAGTTTTTAAGTGTTTATAATGGTACAACTGCGCTCGCCCCAACGGTCACACCGTAAAACATATTAAAATATCTGCATCTTCTGGAAGATAAAGCAATTCAATCTCAGGCTTATTGGTCAGCAATTCCCCTCTTCAAGACATTCTCTTTCCTTCTCTCCAAACAATATGGAAGCCAATTATATATTTTGGCGGTCTGTTACAATTAATTGATCACCAAGCCCGACATTTCAAGAATTCAATCCCGATAGTGATTAGACTTCCATATTTAAGTAATTATTTGTACTGCAACTGCTCTGAATTCTACTTGATTCAGTAAATGATTTATTGTTTTAAGTAAACCAATTAAATACAATTTAAAAAATATTTTGGTAAATGTTATATAGTAAATAGTGGTAAAATGTAAGTAAAGACCAAGTAATGTTATAAATTATATACACAAATCTAAGTAAATATAAATTACTAAGTAAAACTTTTTAGAGTGTAAGTAAAACAATTCTTTAAAATACTAAAATCAAGTAAAACATTTGAATTCAGTAATTGACATATATTTTAGTAATTGATTTGAAATTTTAAGTAAATGCTTAGTAATTATCTATTACTTATCTTTGTTATTTCAAGTAAAAAATGACTACTGAGTAAAACTTTTTAAAGAGTGAATTTAACAACTATACAGTCTCAGAAACTGGCTATATTGATATCACATTTCTTCCTATAGGTCAATTCAGTGATGACGAAAGGGATCGATTTGTCAAGATATAAGAAATACTTGTATAAGTTTAATTTTTTTCTTCAGTTACATGTCATAATGGAAATTTATACCATGCATTTTAAAGTATAATTTAGTCTTTCTTAGGCTGGGACATTGCTGAATGTATATACATGTAACCCGATACACCATTCACCTATATCGATTAATAAGATTTTGACTTATGGTTAATTGTATTTCAATTATATGAAATAAGCTACACGTCTGTACTTTGTCAGTCATCCTTGATATCTCATAATGACCAACAACACAATGTGTGGCATTGTTAAGTCCAGCTGTCCATTTAACATGTGGTCAGTAGTGTACTATGTTGTCATTGTGACCAATTAGTTTCAGACAGAAAGACAGGAACACAATTGTGTAGCAGATGGAAAGCTTAAATTATATCATTCGACGCCTTTAATATAGTTAAACATATATGTTATGAATTAATGAATTACATCATTTGATGGTATAAATAGTCAAAATGCTCTGTTAATGCTTCACAATTCATGAACCATTTCATCATGAATACAACCCTAGTTCTTTTATTTGCCGTGATTTCCGTTTTTGGGCTCACCCAAGGAGATGAGGACTCCATTCTTGGAGGGCTAAGTGAAACAAAATTCGCCACCGATGAAGTACAAGATCTCATAGATTTGGTAATTATTATACGTGCATCTAGCAACCCATGTATTAATGTTTACCATCACTCTTCAGAGGAGAATGTTTTCCAAATCAATAGCCTTAAATGTAATTCAAATTTGCCTCTTTGATTTAGAGTTATCTTTCTTAGAAGGACAAACAACCTTCAACTGAAGGCTCATTCTAATATGCATGTAAATGAACATTGTCCCTCTTTGTCGAATTAGTTTAACAAGATTGTAGATCGATGTGTTCTCAAAGTAAAAATAAAATTGTGGTGAGAATTTTTATTCCATTTTAATTACTAAAACTACAAAAGTCATATTTTTTTTAAATCATGGTTTATCACGGGAACACGCTTTACTATTGAAACGGAAATGGTTTTGTGATTTAGTTTCGTTTTAACGTTAGACCTACTTTCTTATATAAATTCTTAAACACTAAAAAATATCAATTCTTAGATCATACAAGTAGTATGAAACTGCTTATATACCGGGCTGCACTGAGGTAATACATGATGTGTTACGGGAACTCAGGAGACCTCTCTGGTGAGGGAGTGGATAAACATTAGTTTGTTTCTTGTCTTGCATACGGTCGTAAGACCTGAATAAGGCAGACGGATGCAGGGGATAAACGGCTAAGTGTTTCACAGTACACCAATGCACGTAAGACCTGAATAAGGCAGTCACTTGGTTGTAGAGAGAGGTGGCATACCACAATTAGAGGATACCACAATTAGAGGTGGGGGAAGTGCCAAGATGCAGCGGTACTAGTAGAGTGGCAGGACCAGAGAAATTCATGGCGGGAGACACCCGTCGACCACAGTTAGTGGTTGTCCAATCAAGAAGAAACCCATTGTATTTGTACATATTTGATTATAATCGTATTGGTCAACAAAAATCTGAGTTAACAGGTTAACGAACCTGAGTGTAACGCCTCGGTGATACAAGACATATCACCAAACACCAAGCTCGGCCGCGTTGCACGTTACACTATAATGCATCGTCGATTTTACCTGTAATTTTCAAACTTCGCCTATTTTTATACACGATATGAAAGCCTTACCGACTAATGAAATAGTATTTTTGAATGACTGCATTTACTTTATACTTTCACTTTCAGTTACGGGATGACATTATAAGCCAGCTTCCTATTGGATACGATCGCGAGGAGCCTCTTCCTGAGTTTACTGCTCGTTTATACAGGGAACAGATCGTAGCTGGAACAAACTTCTTTGTCAAAGTATGTGTTTATGACTCGAATAGAAAATTTTGATACGAATTATTCTTTAAAATTAAGATACTGCATTCCTGTTCAAACTTGCTTTCTATAATATATAAACTTGTATCTATCTTAAAGACAAATGGACACGGTTTCAACTGATTTGAAAAAAAAAATTTAGTGTTTAAAATTCCTGGGTAAGGGAAATCAAATGATCAGCAAAATTTTAAACATCATTTGTTGATTTACAAAGGAGATACAAAACTAAGGATTGTTCATAATGTAAACAAGGTTCGTGTCTTGTTTTTGTTTATCATATTTATAACAAAACGAGATTCAGAAAATCAATAGAAAATGTCTTATCCTGTTTAGAATTAACTTCCAAATGGAAAAATGTGCTTTGAAAGAACATATGTTAGTATATTTAAACTTTGTAAACAAGAATAGGACATGGGCCCTGTTAAATTACAACAAAGGTTAGGAACTCTAAACTGTCTAGTATATCGACAACAGAAATTCAAATTTTTGATAATCATTAATAATAGCCTAGTTAACGTTTTGAATACAAACAAAAATGAGAAAATAATAAGACAATTTTAGTGTGGTTAAACATCATACGAAAAGATACAAAAACATTCGTTGTTAAAAAGTAATTGCCGTTGTTTTATATGCATCAGTACTGAACTGAAAACAGTTATACTATAATGTAACTGTGACACATTTTACAATTTTATGAATATAATTAATAACACGTGATATATCCTTACCTGCAGGTTGAGACCGGCCCACTACGATTTATTCACGTCCGGATTTATGTTGATCTCTCTGGGGACGCCTCAGTTGACGGATTACAGGTCGGAAAAACCATGGGAGACCCCTTGGAGTATTTTTAGAATGGACTGCATGTACATAGTTTTCAAAATGCAATGTTTCCATGATTTTTTATAGAATTCCAATTAATAAATCTCACATTACTTTTGACTTACTAATATATAAAGAGTATAAAACTGAAGGGCTGTAAATTGTTTGTCAACTTGGACATATATTTCATTTTTCTTGGGATACGTGCTATAGTGTCTAAATTTCTAACGCAAATTTGTTAATAAAGAATTCACAAATAAGTTTTGTAAACCGCTTAAAAACGTTTCCGGTCAATTGGTCATCGAGCGCATCCCCCAGGCGTGTTTATTCATTGTACATTACCGCTATTAACTTATCTATCTCCATGTCAGTCTAGTGAAACCTACAAAAGACCAATCAACATCTGTCAGTTGATCATCTTATTTCTTCATTATTTTCAATCAATTTGAGAAAAAATAGCAATGTCTCATCTGCCTAATTCTACAATTGCTATTATTTGGCCTCACCGTTCAAAAAAAAAAAAAAAAAACTTCATCGTCGAAGTTAGACATGTACATGTATATGTAACCGAAAAGATTGAAAATAGTTTTAGATACTACCTTATATACTCTTATCGCCGCTTTATTTATACAGAGAAAAATGACACAAAACTCAATATAGAATTTATATTTATTTATTTTGGCGAGTATTGGCCGTGGCACAATACAAAATTGTGGGACGCCATTTCAATTGGGCGAACCCACCAAATTCAAACATCAACAATGTGTGTTTCTTTTTTCTAACCGTCCCGGGTTAACCGCGGAGGGTCAGCACACATACAAACTGTTCAAATCAATCAATCAATCAATCATTCAATCAATCAATAAGTCATACCTTAAATTCCAAATATCAAGCATATCAACTTATTTTATCAAATCTTGTATATCATATATCATTAATATCTCAAACTTCATAGATCAAACATCTCAAACTTCAAATATCAACATTTTTCATATTTCAAACCTGTACGATGTAGTACAGTTCTAAAGTATATATTACTGTCACCAAGAGTAAGCTAATTAGCTTAGTTTACACTAGCATTAGCATTTCAACAAGGTGACAGTTTATTACAAGTTTCACACAAACATTCAGTTATCAGTTGACTTGGTGTGCGCAGACGCCACATGGCTGCAAGTTGGCACAGCTTGCAGTCACCCCACACATTGGGGGAAGCAAAGCAAGTCAACTGCTCCACGACCAATACTGCCAAGACCCCCCTTCCCAGCTAGATACTTGCACACATCTTGATTCCTAGATGTGCATATCCTTAGAATAAAGTATTTTGAATTTCCCTTAATTTAGAAAAGGTTTTACAACACATAAGGCAATCAAATCTTAGCAAATGTGATGTATCTCACCTAATTCCTCAATGCCCAATAAAGCTTTGTCTTGTAGGAACTTACCTGTCTATTAATTCCTTCTGAAATGTCTGAGCAACCTTGCAATGCTCTTTACCACCATTGTTTTTCATTTCTCCATTATACAAGGCAAGTTAGATGTAAATGATTGTAGTTAATCAAAATTAATGATCTGGGGTTTTTTAAAACCAAATATAGTTTATCAAGACAACTACCTATATCATAATTCCTGTTTAAAAATTGCTAGGAAAGCCATGTCCTGCTGTTTGAAAAAACCAAATTTTATATCTCCGAAGGCGACACATTCACTCTCTAATTAGCCAATTTAAGCAGAGCAATTTGAAATTCTTAATCATATTCAATTACAAGAAGGTACAACACTATTAAGTGATGGTTACAAATGCCTGTAAAAGACAATACTATCATTTTGAAAGCATACTGGTCTTGTTTAATGATATTCCTACAAAAAATACATTATCTGATACATGTAACAAATTTACTAGTATTCCAATTTGTATATCATACTTAACAGTTAAGCAGCCAGGAAGATATTTGGCACTTTATAGATGCCATTTTCAAACTAGGATTTTTTGGCTGCAATTTCATTACCCATGCTTGCAATACTCGTGTACTTGACTAATCTCATTTATGTGCTAATTGACTAAGTCCCTTCCTTCTTAGGCCATTCCAAGTTTTTTCTATGTTTAGCGTCCGCGTGCGCCTTAGTTTTTGACACACAGTATCAGAAAAAACAAACAAAATCAGAAGACCTGATATTCATTATTTTGGTCGAAATCTTTGAATAATATCATGTCCTGTTATAATCTGTCTACAATTTTTCATATTTGGTATATTTTGAACATTTAGTACATGGATTTTGCTAAAGTATAGATCTATAAAAAGAGAAAAAATATTTTTTTGAAATCAAATCCTTTGAAAGACGTTACTTTTATGACTATAAAGTCTGTTTTCTTTTTTGATCTGTGTGTTTTTTGCGAATAGGTAGGTAGGTTTTTGAAAGATGGGTGGACGCTAAACATAGAAAAAACTTGGAATGGCCTTACATAGATTCTTTCAATAAATATTATTAATGCCTGTGATACATGTATGTGCATATGAGCTCTACAGCTCTATATGACCACATTCTTCCACTGTGTAGCCCAAAATGCAAAGCAAAGTCTAAAATTCTTTAAGGTATAGATGTTTGATTATTAATTACATCAAATGGAAATATTTTATTTTATTTATTTATTTATTATTATATGCAATGAGCCTGAATACACGTATTACATGTACTGCTATCAATATGTGCTTGATCCTTCTTAATAGTATTTTGATTAAAAAACATACACCAAGTGAAATTCTTTTTAAATGCAAGCCCAAGGGACAATGCGCAGTCCTAAGTTTTAAAGTCCACATAATAAGAAGAGTTACAAAATATAAGCACCCTGTGAGGAACTTTAATAGCCCGAACATCTTAAAAATGAAGTCAAATGCACATTCAAGGTTGAGCAATCTGTATAAAAATCCACAAACATATAAACTTTCTGTGAGAATTCTTCCGAAAATCAATTGATACATTGTTAGGGATCTAAGGAACTTGCCTAATTGTGTCACTTCTTGTGTGTAAATATAACCAAATAGTTTAAATAAGACCATATATTTTATTTGCAACATACATTCTGTTGCATGTCCTATAAGTTAACTTGGATTCTAGAAGTAATTGTAATTTAACTTGGTATTTCCAACACTGTTATCTTAAGTAACCTGAACTGATCTGGAAGGTCATGTCTACCTACATCTCAAATATCCAATATCTCTACTGAAAGCTTTTCCTAATCCCAAATGTTTAAGAAAATGAGATTTGACTATTTCTTTTTTGCTTTAATTATTAAAAACCAAAATATATTCATTTATAAATGATTACAAAACATTCTTGACATTTCTTGGATTAAATATTGCAATTTCCAACCTTTCATTTCCACTTTATTGGATCAAAACTATCCTAGTAATTCCAGTCTTAGGCAATGGATGGTTTATGGTTATATATAAGTATTTTGTATTTTCCTTTTCATTCAAGAATTAATATGAATTGATACATTATGTTGTTTAACAATGAAGATGCCCCTTTTTCCTCATTTTCACCTTTGTATTACTATATTTCAATGACCATTTTGTTTCCAATTGAATAGCTAGCAAATGGAATCAATGACGAGAAAGCTCCAACAAATACAGACTTGAGAAAGGCATTTTCCAGAGGATCATTGCTCCCCGACCCCAAATTTAGATCTCTTTCCTTCTTGAAGTCAACTATAATGAGTAGGATGCCCAATTTCAGTGTAAATCTATAAAATTTATGATATGCAACTGATCTTATCACTTGCCTTATAAATATCAAGGGCTTTCATGAATACAAAGAACTTAACTCTAGAAAAATTGGGTGCATTTAAATAACTATAACAAAACTACTCTGGAAAAGATATGTATTTCATTCTCCTATTTATTTACATTCACCACAAACTTGAGATATATACTATGTCAGCCTGAAAAATGTTGGCATTAATGCCTAATAGTTTTGAGCCATGTTGAAATTAATGCCTAACAGTTGTGAGTCATGCTGTAAGTAATGCCTTAATTCTGAGCCATGTTGTAAGTAATGCCTAATAATAGTTCTGGGCCAGGTTGAGCCATGCTGTACGTAATGCCTAGTAGTTTTCAGCCATATTGTAATTAATGCCTAATTGCTCTGAGCCATGTTGTAAGTAATGCCCAATAGTTCTGAGCCAGGCTGTCATAATGCCTTATTGTTCTGAGCCACATTTTAGATAATGCCTTAAGCCTAATAGTTCTTAGCCATTCTTTACGTAATGCCTAATATTCCTTGGATTTAAAAGACTCACCAAGTTCTATTCCTGATATACTGGACTGTTAATCTGTGATTATACTTATATTCAATGTCTGGTTTTCCAAACGATTTAAGATAATTTTCTATGCCTTTCTTTGACTTGTAGTCTTGTATTTGGATCCATGTCCAAGAGAAGCTCCGACCGAGTTTCCTTATTCTTGTTCACATGCATAGGACCTATTCTAGTTTGCTTTTGCCGAGTTTCGAAGCAGTATGAAACAAAAAGAGAGTTATTAATGTTAATAACCAACATTACATCATTGTAAAACAATACAAAGGTATAAGTAAACGATTTTTTAGTATAACCGCGTGCGCGTCGTCTGCTTTGTAAAGTGTTTGAATCCAATCTCATCCGTCATAATTATTGCACATCAATAGTAATAACAGCGTTAAAATTAATGGTTGAGAACAATGCATAAATGAAAAATCATACAAATTTTAAAGTTACAAAACAACATTTCATGTATTTCATTGCAAGCAATTTTTATGCATCTTTACCTTCGAAAGGTTCAGAAGAAAGGAATGTGAAGATCAAACCCGACCTTTTATATACTACACTTGATGTGTCAACCAAACCCGACCCTTAAAAGCCAACGTTCAAATAACAAATACTTGGGACCTATAAACTAGTTTATAGATCCCTTCAAATATACTTTTCTCGTAAAATAAAGGCATCTATTTTGTATACACAAATAGATGCTATTAATACATAAAATAACATATATATCATAAACAGTCACATTTTAATGCAATTCTTTACTAGATCTACAATTTAGTAATTTAAAAAAACGTTTAGGCCTA